GGAGGTTCCAGGCTCATCTTGTTCAGTAGGGGAAACCAAGGTCTGCGAGGCCAGATTGGGATGATGGCGATGACTTTGAGACCTTCCTTCCATATTTTTCTCAGCAGTCGGTAAATCATTGGTAGGGGAGGGAATGCGTACCCCAGATCGAATTCCCATGGAAGCGACAGGGCATCCTGTCCTTCTGCTCGATGATCCGCATGTAGGGAATAAAACCTCTTCACCTGAGTGTTGTTGTATGAAGCCATCAGGTCGATCTGGGGTACTCCCCACCGATGGGTGATCAATTGAAATAAGTCTGGGTGCAGTTTCCATTCTCCTTGGAGAATCCTTGTCCTGCTGAGATAGTCCGCCAATAAATTCTCTGGCCCCGGAAGATAAACCGCTTTTAATCCTTGAAGATGTAGTTGCGCAAACCTCATGATTGGTGACAATTCTATCAGTAGAGAATAACTTCGAGTGCCTCCCTGATGATTTATGTAGGAAGCCACAGCTCTGTTGTCTGTATGTATCCTGACCCAGGCATCCCTTAATAGAGGACGGAACCCTATTAATGCCTTGAGAACCGCTCTCATTTCTCTCAAATTCGAATGGAGTTTTGACTCCTTCCATGTCCAAGTTCCTTGGATCCAAGAGTTGTTCAGATGTGCTCCCCATCCCAGAAGGCTGGCATCTGTAGTTATAGTAATCCAGTCCGGCTCTTCCAGGGGAAAACCACAAAGGAGGTGTTTTTCTTTTGTCCACCAATATAGTTCTTTCGAAATTCTCGGGAGAAACCGAATCTTCTGATCCCAATTTCCTTGTTTTGCTCTGAACTGTAAGAGAAAATGCCTCTGAATGGGTCGCATCCTCCACTGGGCCCATTTCACTAGGCCTATCGTGGAAGTAAGAGACCCTAACAGGCTCATGAAATCTCTTGCCGTGATGAAAGATTTTTGACGCAGACTTCTGATCTTCTTCATTATTCGTTGTTTTCTGTCTGTAGACAGTGATACCAGGCCATTCCCCGAGTCTATATTTGCTCCTAGGAAAATCATCCTTTGAGAAGGCACTAAAGAACTCTTTTTGGGGTTTATCAGCCAACCATGATCTTGAAGGTATTTTATGGTTATAGACGTGTGGACATTCACTATCTGACTGGAAGGACCTAAGATTAGAAAATCGTCCAGATAATGAAAAATCTCGATGTTCCTTGTCCTTATAAAGGCCACCAGAGAAACTAGAATCTTCGTGAATGTTCTGGGCGCCAGGCTTAAGCCGAAAGGAAGTCCCTTGAACTGATAGTGATTCCCCGCAATCCAAAACCTTAGAAACCGGCGATGACTGACATGAATAGGAATCTGATAGTAGGCGTCCTTGAGATCTATAGAAGTCATCCAGGTCCCTGTCTTTATATTGGGCAGAATTGTGGTAATGGACTCCATTTTGAAAGTTCTTGGAACCAAGTAAGTATTCAGAACTTTCAGGTCCAGAATTAGACGCCATTTCCCCTGAGGTTTTGGGGCCAAAAATATCGTAGAGTAGTGGCCTCTGTAATGTTCTCTGTAAGGGACTTTCTCTATGACCTGATTTTGAAGAAGTTGAGAAATAATTTCGTTTAGAGCCATTTCTTTTCTTCCTCTTGCCACTCTTGAACGGGTAAAGGAGGTTTGAGAAGGGAATTCTTTGAATTCTATTTTGTATCCTTCCTTGAGGATAGAAAGAACCCAAGAGTCTTGAATGCTTTTGGCCCAAACCGGATAAAAGAAGCGAAGTCTGCCTCCTATAACATCTGGCTGGGCCAGCAAACGTTCAGAAGTTCTTATTAGCTGGTCTAGATCCTCTTCCTCTAACCGGTTTTGATGAAGATGACTGGTAGTTTCTCCAGTTAGAATTCCTGGAGAATTCTCTTCCGGGTCTATATGACCTGGCGTCTCGAAAGGATCGGTCTCTAAACTTTTTATCCTTCCAGTAGGAAGCATTAAATCTTCTTTTCCCCTGGGGGAGAAAGGCTTTTCTTCCATCTGCCGCTTTATGGATCGCATCTTCCAGGACTTTACCAAATAGAAGGTCTCCTTGAAAAGGAAGGCTACATAGGGAGGCCTTAGAGGCGTAATCTGCACCCCAAGAGTGAAGCCATAATGCTCTTCTCGAAGCAACTGACAGTGCCATACTTTTAGCTACCATTTTAGTAATATCCAGAGAAGCTTCAGAACAGAATTCTGTGGCCAGCTTTAAATCTTTAATGCCCTCCATCAGGTGTTCTCTACGAACTCCACTAGCAATATCCTCTTCTAGGTTATCAACCCATATTTTAAGAGCTCTGGACAAGGTGGTAAGAGCAATGGCTGGATGTAATGCTGACCCTAGGGCCAAGTATGCCTTAATCAGGTCAGCGTCCAATCGCTTTTCCATTGGCTCCCTTAAATATGCCATTGAATCTATGGGAAGAGTTGTTCTTTTTGCCATGTGGATGACTGCTGCATCAATTTTCGGAACCGAAATCCATGACTTGCAGTCCTCAGGTGCATACGGGTATAATCTGGGGACTTTGCTCTTTAAAGTCACCTTCTTCTCTGGTCTATTCCATTCTGCACCTATTACCTCTTTTATGGCCGAATGAACTGGAAAAGTAGGTCTGTTAGGCTTCAGATCTTCAAAATATCTATCAGACTCCTTCTTCTCCCTGCTTTCTTCAGGAATTCTTAATGTGTCTCTGATAAGATGAACCAACTTATCCACAGACCTGGAATCCAAAGATTTTGAGTCATATTCATCCTCTTCTTCCTCTGAATAGTCTTCCATCATATCAGATTCTTCTTCTGATTCCACATAGCTTTCCACTCTGGGACGCTTGGGGATAGCCATTTTACTAGAGGATTTAAATCCTTCAGCAATGGCTTCTGAAATCCATTTCTTTAAGTCAGCCTGTGGGGAACTTTTCTCATCCCAGTCCTTCGCTGCTTCCGTAAGGCAAGATCTGCACAAATTTTTTCCCGGAGGAGCCACTTGGTTGCAGTTTGCACATCTGTTGGATTTTTCTCTATATTTTCTGGGAGAATCCTCTTGAGATTTTTCTGGGCTGAAATTAAAGGCCGATATATTATATATTATAGGCCTGCAATGGCACTCTTTTTCCCCCCTTAAATCAATTTTGACATATGCGGCTCACCTATGTCTTCTAGAGCGAGATCTTGAGGCAGAGGGAGAAGCCATCTAGAATAAAATATGCTTATTGTAAAAGAAACATTTAAGCAGCAAGAAAGATTTAATAATATACAAAAAAAAAAAATTTTAGATTTACCTTTAAACCAGATTCTGATCAAAAAAGGCAGCTTTCCTTATTAACAGAAGTTCATAGAAGAAGCCAGGATCAATTCTGAGTGGTTTTTAAATTTTTCATTTTTTGGCGCGATATACCTTTAAGCGCGCAATTATTCCGCGCATGCGCAGAACACCCGCCGGACGCCGTCGGTACTGCGCATGCGCCAGAAGCCGAAAAGAGAAGAGACAGACCGGAGGAAAGCCCCTGCACCCTGCTGATCTCCAGGGAAGCTTAGAATACACAGAAGACAGATGCAGGTAAGCCAGGCACTTGTAAACTTTCAGAATAACCTCTCAGAATTTAAAATAAAATGAAACCAATGAAAATTTATCAGACATAAGCACTTACCCTAGGCTCTCCCAATAACTGACCTCAGATCAGGGGGGTTAGATGCTATAAGGGGATTTTTAAGGTAACAGCCGACCCCACATCCAAATTGAAACTTTTTCTCCCATAATAGTACAGATGCTAATCTGTACTAAACTCAGTTAGTCCTGCCCGTGCAGGCTGTTTACTGAGTTCTTCAGATGAAGAGAGGCTGAACTTCATCTGGAGGCCCATGGTACACATGGGAAGGTGGCCCAAAATAAAATATCCTGTGTGTCCTGAAAGGACAGGAAAAAAAGACTGTGGGATAGAAGGAGGAGGGACCTTTTATACCCAGTCTGGTCCATATTAATTGATTTTATCCTGTCCTGTTCCTGATTAGGGCGGAGCTACCCATAAGTGATGCTGCCATGATTAGCCAGGAAAAGTTAATTTCCTGAAGCAATTACTTGTCAGTTAGTTTCACACAATAAAAGGACTATTCATTAAACTGTGAACTTCTGTGAATTGCCCATTGCATTTCCATTGTTAGGTTTAAGTTCCTGAATTGAAAATAGTCCTAATCTATGTTTACATCTCAGCTATTTGGCCTACAATATGAGAATCGCTAGTCAATTCTCAACAATTCCCAGTTTAGTGAATAAACCTGTAAAACATACTGAAGATCTCTGATATGGCGGCGGTGCACTCCACTCGGCTTCCCTGCATTTTCATTTTATTTATTTATTTATTTTTTAGCCACTTGTTTTTTCAGTGTAACATTGCAGTTTGACCCACTATGTGAAAGCAAGATCATTGTGACCTCACCTTTAAAGGACCACTGTAGGCACCCAGACCACTTCAGCTTAACCCCTTAATACTGGAGGGCGTACTATTACGCCCTATTTTAGGCGGCTCTAAACGCCTCCGGTCTTTCTATACTTACCCGGTTGCCGGCGATCCCACGCCGGCGATCGCGGTTGGGGGGACTCCCATGGAGCCCCCCGGGGCACGCCCGACCCCTTGGCAGCCCCCCGGCCATGTGAGAGTGAGGTCCTTGCGAGGACCTCACAATCACATGGCCGGGATAGCTGCCTACTGTATTGACAGCAGGGGGCTGCCTGTAATGACAGGTGGTCCCCCTGCTATCTGAAAATAAAATTAAAAAAGTTAAATAAGTGTAAAAAAATAATATATATATATATGATCTAAGTATATATATATACACATATACATACACACACATACACTGTCTAGGTGTATTTTACTAATATCAAATTACACGTAGACTGATACTGATTAAATATATATATAATTATTGTTATATATATATATATATATATATATAGCATCCAAGTAGAGAGCACTTTGGAGTCTTCGTTTTATATCAAAATAAATACTGCTTTATTGTGCAGAATACAAAAATGTCGACGTTTCAGTCACAATAGACTTTTCTCAAGACTTTTCTATTGTGACTGAAACGTCAACATTTTTGTATTCTGCACAATAAAGCAGTATTTATTTTGATATAAAACGAAGACTCCAGAGTGCTCTCTACTTGGATGCTATATATTGGTCAGAGATTACTTGCACCGGAGCATGGAAAAGACCGGGAACATTGAGTGCTGGGACCTGGGAAAATATATATATATATATATATATATATATATATATATAATATAAAAAAAAAAATATGTAAATACGTTAAAAAATTTAATTAAAATTTTTTTAAAAAAAAATAATTAAAAAATATATAGATGTGTTATTTTGTTCTAACTGTATTGTGATATTAATATAAGCTGGACAAATCCTTATATAGTGAAATCTTGAGATAAGAATTGACAACTATAACCACTGTGCCACTAGTAAAAATAGTAACCACCACCGGAGGTTACAGGATAAAAGTATATAGAGGGTACTGGACTCAGTGGAAATAGCAAATATAGAATGATCCTTAGTTAATCCTTCTGAGGTCTTTAAATGTAGGGATTAAATACGCACAACCTTTCAAGACACTTCTCCGATCATCATTCCAATGATCCAATGGGCTTAGAATTTGATGCTATTGATTTAGTTAATCCACATTGGAGGGGAGGTGATTTTGAGAAAATGCTGGACAAAAATGAAGCAAAATGGATATTTCAACTTAACAGTTTGGAACCATTTGGTCTTAAAGTGGCATTTTTTTCAGATATTCCACCATTTCAAGTATACCTAATTGTGATGTATCCCTTATATCATATGTCTCACCCCATCTTTTAGAAGGTTCTTGATATTTCAGATGGTTTGTTTTAACACCATATGTATTAATCCACCATTCAGCTTTTTACCATGTCATGTCTTTCTCTGCTAAAAGTACCTAATCTCATGTCACACAAATGAATTCATCTTTATTTTCAATTTGTAACAGTGTATGTATCAAGTGCTATGAAGATATATAATGACCAATTTCTTGAATTAAGTATTAAAATTAATGTTATTTTTCCATTGAACTATGCACAGATAAAGTATGTTTATAATGTATTAGTATTTGATAATTTATTTATGATGGAATAGATTGTATTTTATTTCTCCATAGAGTGTTATTTTCAATTGTTTGCTTGCTCATTTTTTACTTCAGTAAACTGAGGGTTAATTGATTAGAGCAAGAGAGTATATAAGAGGTCAAGGATTCTCTGATGCCATCCTCTCATGAAGTGATTTGGAATCACGAAACGCGTAAGGCAGGCATCTTCCGATCAGCACAGTCAGCTCCCGAGAGAGAGCATTTGGAACGCATCCAGCAGCCGCAGTGGAACGCACGCGGAGAATACCAGGTGTCAGTGCAGCGCGAGGCAGTCCACCTTCACCTCTGTCCGGCCGGCAAGAGAGTGCAATCTACATCTATATATTTGGACCCTCAGTCTACTGTGACCCGGTATACCATATATCTCTCTCATGTGGGACTGTTTTTAATTTTTATTAATTTTTATTCTTTACTATTAGTCTTTTATATTTTTGTGTGCTGTTTATACAATAAACCATTTATAAATAGTTTGATGTCTGCTTCACATATATGAGACACTTCTGATCCTTTGGGATTTTTATTAAAAGATATATTTTTTACTATTATTATTTTATACCTATGATATATATGTGGTATTGATTCTAAAGATTATAGGATCTCTACTATATTAACTCTTTACCAGCTAGTGGATTCTACCTACCTTACTCTATAGGAGGTTTAGATCCGACCAGCTGATACATTTAAAGACCTCAGAAGGATTAACTAAGGATCATTCTATATTTACTATTTCCACTGAGCCCAGTATTGATTATTGATTTATTTCAATAAGCACCCTCTATATACTTTTATCCTGTAACCTCCGGTGGTGGTTACTATTTTTACTAGTGGCACAGTGGTTATAGTTGTCGATTCTTATCTCAAGATTTCACTATATAAGGATTTGTCCAGCTTGTAGTTATTCATTTATATATATATATATATATATAGTCCAGTATTGATTATTGATTTATTTCAATAAGTACCCTCTATATTAATATATTAATATATTTATATCAAAATACACGTAGAACAAAATAATATATATATCTATATACATAAATATATATGTATACATCACTATATATATACATATATATAAATAAAAATATTAAAAAAATGATATATATATATACATATATATTCACATATGTATATATATACATGTATTAATTCTACATATATATTTATGTATTATTTTTACATAATTAGGTATCTTAATTACAATTAGCGGGACCTGCCTGACAACCCATGCCGAGAGTAAAGGGAATTTAATTTGCTAGAACTATATTTAACCCTATAACTTTCCAAGACACCATAAAACCTGTACATGTGGGGTACTGTTCTACTCGGGAGACTTCTCTGAACACAAATATTAGTGTTTCAAAACAGTAAAATGTATTACAATGATGATATCGCCAGTAAAAGTGAAGTTTTTTGCATTTTTCATGCACAAACAGCACTTACACGGATGCTATTATTGCTGCAATACTTTTTACTGTTTTGAAACACAAATATTTGTGTTCAGCGAAGTCTCCCAAGTACAACAGTACCCCTCATGTACAGGTTTTATGGTGTTTTCAAAAGTTACAGCGTGAAATATAAGGCTTGTGTTTCATTTTTTTCATATTAAAATTCGCCAGATTGGTTACGTTGCCTTTGAGACCCTATGGTAGCCCAAGAAGGAAAATTACCACCCTGATGGCATACCATTTGCAATAGTAGACAACCCAAGGTATTGCAAACAGGGTATGTCCAGTCTTTTTTAGTAGCCACTTAGTCACAAACACTGGCCATATTTGAAATTTTTTGCATTTTTCACACACAAACAAATACTAACGCTAACTTTGGCCAGTGTTTGTGACCAAATGGCTACTAAAAAAGACTGGACATACCCCATTTGCAATACCTTGGGTTGTCTACTATTGCAAATTATATGCCATTATGGGTGTAAATTTCTTTCCTGGGCTACTATAAAGTCCCAAAGGCAACGTAACCAATCTGGCGACTTTCAATTTCAAATGTAACGTGCTATATTTGACCCTGTAACTTCCCAAAACGCCATAAAACCTGTACATAGGGATTTTACACGTGAGACTTTGCTGAATACAAATATGTGTATGTTATGGCAGTAAAAGCAAACAGTATTATGACATTGACCGTTAAAATGTCATGTAGAACAAAAAAAATAAATAAATCTTATTTTCTCCCATTGTTTTCAAATTAAATTATGTTTCATAGCTAAATATTTGATATTAAATGAAAGCCCTGTTTCCCCTGAATAAAATGATATATAATAATGGTGGGTGTATTTAATATGAAAGAGGTGTATTACGGTTGGACAGACATGTAGCGCAAATGCCAGGTTTTATTTACATTTTGTTTTGTTCACAACGTGTACATTTGGCTCCGTCCTTAAGGCGTTAATGAAGTGGTCTGGGTGCCTGGTCCAGCTAGGGTTAACCCATTTTATTTATAAACATAGCAGTTTCAGAGAAACTGCTATGATTATAAATGGGTTAATCTAGCCTCTAAATCCTCTAGTGGCTGTCTCATTGACAGCCGCTAGAGGCGTTTGCGTGCTTCTCACTGTGAAAATCACAGTGAGAAGACGCAAGCTTCCATAGGAAAGCATTATGAATGCTTTCCTATGAGACTCGCTGAATGCGCGCGCAGCTTCTGCCGCGCATGCGCATTCAGCCGAAGAGGAGGAGAGGAGTAAGAGAGGGGGAAGAAAGCTCCCCGCCCAGCGCTGGAGAAAGAGGTAAGTTTAACCCCTTCCTCTGCCCAGAGCCCGGCGGGAGGGGGTCCCTGAGGGTGGGGGCACCCTCAAGGCACTATAGTGCCAGGAAAACAAGTATGTTTTCCTGGCATTATAGTGGTCCTTTAATACACCTTTTACCTTCGAATGTATGCAGGATACTGGGACTGGGAAGCTCAGGAGCAAGAGAAATGCAAGAGGTGTGATTAGAATCAAAGGAGGAGAAGTGCATGCTAAATTTTAATCAAATCCATATTGACCTGCACTGCCTAGTATACTCCTTGCTCATGTGAGATCTCTTTTGAACAAAATGGATGAATTGTGATTGTGGATAACAGGAAGCATGTTCAAGGTTTACAACTTGATGGTTTTTACAGAAACCAGGATAATAATAACATCTTTGATACTCAGGTGGAGTTAGCTAGCTGAAATATTTACAGAACTGACAGGACAGCGCTGGAATGTGGTAAAGGTAAAGGTGGGGGGTAAAAAAAAAAAAAGCTGGTGTATGGATACAACTCTGGTGGAAACTAAATGCTCTGCTGAATAATATTTTATGCGATTAGATTCAGGCCATTTTGTTTGCCTTGCGAATTATCTTGCATTTAAATTATTATTTACAGTTACACACACAGTTACAGGCAGTCACAGACACAGATGTAAAAAAAGCACAATGGTAACAAGTAAGCAGAGAAGAAAGTTACAACATTTCCTTACATTCATAAAGCTGAAAATGAATCACTTTCTAGTACTAAATATTTTTAGGAATGGAGTTTTGAAGGATTTTTTGCAGGAAGGAGTCCCTGCTTCCCAAATAACCCCAGGAGCTGCAACTGCCTCCTCCCTTACAGACCATTATAGAGAGAGGTAACTTTCCATCTGTGTGACTGTCTCCTCAGTCTACCTGTGTGAGACTATCTGCCTGTGTGTGACTGTCTACCTGTCAGGTCTCTGCGGCTCATCAATTCCTGCAACAGTACCTGTTGTCCCGGTTCATACAGTTCACATGATGCCTTCACAGCACTATAGTGGTGATCCGACGATGTGTCGTGGATTACTTAACCAGATCGACATTCATCTGATTATGAATCCTCGTTCATACCGTAATGACCGATCTAAGATTGCATTTTTAACTAACCACATTTCAGGTAGGGCCTTGGCTTGAGCTAATCCACTGGAAAAGCCCTACTCAGGATCAAGCAATGTTCTAGAAAAGTAGCG